TGTAGGCTCAAGCCCTTAGCGGTGCTGCTTGATGCTTTGCTCCAGTTGGATTCATGTAGACCCAGGGTTTGAATGGGGTAAGCATTTAAGGAAGAAACTGTTCCTTTCTGTTCATTCAGATAACACGTCTTATTCTGAACTTTCTTCAGTTGCTGGCCGAGTTGAACTTTGCCTGTATGATGGCATTGTATGGTACTTCAAAAGCTTGGTAACAATTATGAATCATATAAAATATGTACGTGAATGCAAGAAGGATTCTGCTGCTGTGAGTTTTATTTTGCATCCAGTTCTTCGGCTATGATGATAAATAATAAATAAACCCTTTTTTATGAATTTCAGATCAAGTCTAATCAGGGTTATGAAAAAAATTAAGCTCAACAACAACAAAACAAAAGCTGTTTTAAACACTGGAACCTCACAAGAGCAACACCATAGCTTGAGCTGAGCAACCACTAGAATGTTTTTAGTAAGGATACTGCTGCTAGCTGGTTCTCTGTTCAAGGAATGAGACAGACCAGTAATGTGCAAAAGCAAACACTTCAGTGCCCTACATACTCGTGTATAGACAAGTGTATATAAAAAGAACCCTGAATTGAAGCAATTAGAAATATTTCCACCTTCTCCACGCGCCACGAAGAATAGGAGAACAAACTATGTTTCTTTCTCCTGACATACTTATACTTGCTGCAGTACAAACAATAGGTTTTTGACAGCTGGCCAAATGGGGACATTGTGTCTCCGCTCTCGTGGAAATGGTGATCTTGAAACACCATTGATGGCACACAGCTGTGAGAGAATAGGGTTTGTTTGGTTGAGGCCTGGGCTACACTAGAAAATTAGGTCAGTTTAACTACATCGGTCTGGAAAAATCCACACCCCTGAGCTGGGTAGTTAAGCCAGCCTAAGTCCCCATGTAGACAGCACTAGGTCGATGTAAGAATTCGTCCGTCGACTTAACTACCACCTTTCAGGGAGGTGAATTACCTACGCTGGTGGGCGAACCCCTCCCATTGGTGTAGGTAGTGTCTGTGCTGAAGCGCTGCAGTGTTTTGAGTGCAGACAAGCCCTAAATCTTCAGTGAGCTTTTGGCATTTCTCATATATAGGAAAGTAACTACAACAAAACTAATTGGCTTTAAACCCAGTAAAAGTTTAACATTACATTGTTGTAAACAGGTGAAGGAGTTATTGATGATCAACAATAAAGAAGGAGCTATCGATCATCAACAATAAACTTCAGATCTATGTTGGGGGAAGGGAGGGCGGATTGGATAGCAAAATTTCTCCTAATCTAGAATGACAGGCTGTGGTTGAAAAATATTTTGCAGCAATGTTCCATCTGACTTTAGACACTGTATTTTTTTTTAATTTATAAATCAGAGATAATTGTTGGAAAGTTGTAGTTGATCCACAAACTAATGGCAGGAACTAATTAACCACTTTATTATAATAGCAGTGTAAATACCAGTGACTACGGTGGGTTCAGAACTTGTGTTGCCTTCCAAGATGAGACTGTCTACATTGTCTTCCTCCCTCCCTTTCTAGATTTGATTTCTGATTTTTTCAATAGTCCCAGTGATTTTAATACCGCAGGTTCGGATGTACAGTTACTAGAATATGAGCGGACGATAGAGGTCCCAGACTCCTACCATGGACCTCGGCTGTCTTTTCCCCTGACTGTTGCAGACACTAATTCACTTCTTCATGCTTTCAAGGACCAACAGGCAAGTTAGGAGTTGGGACTGTATTGGTTTTAGAATATGACTATCATGACTGACTAAACTTAAGTAATGTCAGAAGTTGTTATGGAGACTAAATTATAGGATCATAGAAACTAAGTGAACTAGGTGACCTAATATGTCTTTCTACTCTTTCTGCCAGTGCAGGATTATTCTCTGCTGTTCATTTACTGATTATTTGTTATGGTCTAAAGGACTGAGCATGAGTCAAGGAGCTAGGAAAGCTGAAGTTGGCTCTGATACTGACTCCCTTGCCTGCTTGCCTCTGTGTCCCCATCTGTAAAATGGTGCTAATATTTACACTGTTGAGTGTTATGGGGAGTGATTAATTTGAAACTTTAAACTGCAGTTTCAGTGCTAACTATTAATAGTCCAGCCAAGTTTTAAATTTATTGAGTAAATGGGGTTTCCAATATTTATCTTGAGTGATGGATCTAGAAAGAGGAGCTGTGGTAAATAGAAGAGTAAATGAGCAAACACAGGCTTCATCCTTGAGCACCAGCTTTCTTGCTCCCAAGTGGGAGTTAAGGCTCATTCTATGATCAAAAGTCTTTTGGAGATGGGGTAATTAGCCTCTGTGACTTTGCCTCTCCCCGCACCACCTTCCAGAACGAAAGTGGTTGAAAGTCTGAGTAGAATTTCAGCTGGATGGTGCACTGAGATGGCTATTTTTAAATTAAAAGGCCTGCAATCATTGGATGGTGAGATCATCCTAGACATTATTAACAGAGCAGGAAGTACAAGAAAGAAGGAATCTCAGTGGGAAAGTATTTTTGCAGCTGAGAGGAACAAAGAGATTGAATGGATGAGTTTTAAAGATTGAGAGTTTCATTCTGACACTTACTTACTCCTGGGGGAATTCTGTGCCAAAAAATTAAAAATTCTGCGCACAGTATTTTAAAATTCTGCATATTTTGTCAAAATAATGTGGGTTTTTTATGCAATATGATCCACAATTACAGACCACCAGTCATGATTGAGAACATCATTGCAGGATGTGCAAAACAATTTTTCCCCATCTGCATGAAGTTTTGTAGGGAATTCTCGAGCACGAGAAGCTGGTGGAGGCATTTTTGATGCATGATGTGAAGGCTGTTCATGTCATGCGAAAGAACGAATATCCCTTTGGTAACTTCATCTGGACCTGGCTGGGTACTTTAGGAAGTGCTTGGTTCTGATTGTCCTGATGTTTTATTGACTGCTTGATAAATGTTTTATTTGCCCTCAAAGTCTTTTTTTTTAAAAATGTGTAAATAAAATAAATCCTAAACTGTAATCTAACCCCATTGTGCCACTTTGGCACAGGAAAAAAGTGAGAAAGCACATAGATCTTCCTCGCTGAGGATTCCCTTACTGTCTTTTATAATAAGGCTCCTTTATCTCACCCTGGCGACGTAAAGGAGCCTTAAAACTTTTAAAAAAATACTTGTGGCACCTTAGAGACTAATAAATTTATTTGAGCATAAGCTTTCGTGAGCTACAGCTCACTTCATTGGATGTGATGCTGTAGCTCATGAAAGCTTATGCTCAAATAAATTTCAGAGTAACAGCCGTGTTAGTCTGTATTCGCAAAAAGAAAAGGAGTACTTGTGGCACCTTAGATAACAAAAATAAATTTGTTAGTCTCTAAGGTGCCACAAGTACTCCTTTTCTTTTTGGGAATACAGACTAACAGGGCTGCTACTCTGAAACCTTAAAACTTTTACAGGTTTTATGCTCCTGAGGGAATTTACTGAGAATGGGAACTGTTAACTAACAATAGGAACATTAACAACGTCACTAGCAGGCAGGTTGCTACATTTCTGTCTCAGAGAATGAGCTCAATTAACTATCAATAGCAACATTAACAATGGTTTTGTTTTTTTCACATCAAGAACTGCTTTTCATTTCAAACATTGAAACAGTTTTGTAGGAATGCACAAAGCAGACTCTTATTCTTCCTCACCTTATCCCCTCTCAAACAAAAACTGATGGAATTTTCTATCAGTCCAGTGCTTATCTGCTATAAAATGAGCCTCCAGGCAATTTAATAGATAGCACTGTCTGATTGCATTTCCAACCCTGTCAAAACAGCTGCTTGCTTTGTTGCAATGAAGGAACATAGGCAGGCATGCTGCTATATTTCTGCCTCAGGGGACAGAGTCTGCCCTCATGCCTAACAACCCGAAGCCCTACCCCTCTGCACCAGGTGCTCCACAGTAGCAAGGGTGAGGGACAGAGTCTCTCTTGCTTGTTCGCAGGCAGACATGCCCAGCCCCAGCCCCTGATGGTGATTAATGTCTTCCACGCAGACATGTATGCCCATGCCCTCCCCCTCCCTCCACCCCACCCCGGGCAGTGATTTGGGTCTCTGAGGGCTTCTCCAGGTGCTGGAAAAGATGCACTGCCTGGGCTGTTGGGGAAGAGGCATGTGTCCCCCCCCAGGTTTCTTCTGTATTTTTCTGCGCAGGGTCACAGAAATCTGTGGACCATAAGAATTCTGCACCCATGCAGTTGCTCAAAATTCCTTCTGGAGTAGTTTATATAGAAGAAGGCAGATTAACTATTAACTTTACAGCCCTGACTTTAGTTTTCTCTCTCTTGGTTTTTTTCCCCTTCTTTTGTACTTTACTACTCATTATTAAACTTTCACAGCTAAAAGGAAGTTTTTTGTTATTTAACAATACCTAGCATTTGTATAGCCTTTATCTATTCAAAGAGCTACATTAAGTACCTATTAACCCCATTGTACAAGTGGGGAAAATGAGGCACACAGGTGAAGTGACTTCCCTAAAACCCCAAAGCAATTTACTGGGAAAGCTAGGATTAGAATTTGGGAGTTCTAAGATCCCATGCTCTGGGTATCCTTAAATCTTCGACTGCCAGAAGCTGAGACTGGACAGCAGGGAATGGAGCACTCAAAAAATTGCCCTGTACTGTTCATTCCCTCTGAAGCATCTGGCACCAGCCACTGTTGGCAGATAGGATACTGGGCTAGATGAACCATTGGTTGACCCAGTATGCCATTATTATGTTCTTATGAGTTTTTGATTCTTCATCCTAGACCATGCTGCCTGTAATTGTGAAAGTATGTGTGTACAGTATGTGTAAAGTATGTGTTTAGAAAGTATGTGTGTACAGTAAACAATCTTTAAATGGCAAATACCTGTAGCAAAATTGTTGGTAGTGGGTGGGTCTCTGTGTTGGCAGAACTTTTATTAAGTAGCATGTCCTATGTATATTTCTAATATGCCTCCTTCGTCTCACTGCATTCCTTTCACAGCACCTTCATGCCCGCTACGTTGTACAGCTGCTACATGAAACCAAGAAAGTCCTTAAACAGATGCCCAACATCATTCATCTGTCGACCTCCTACTCCAAGGAGATAACCATCTGTGGTAAGATGACAGTGAATATAGCTGGTTTTGGCCACAGGGTGATATGGATATTCCTGACTGCAGCCATAATTGTAATTTTGCAGATGGTTTTAGAAAAGCGCAAATCTCCCCAAACTACTACAACTCATGCTGCTGAGTCACCACTGGTATATTTTAAGAAAGCCAAAAATCTCCTCTCTTTTTTCACCCAGTCAGATGTTGCTTGGTGAGTCAGTGTTAAAACACAGATCCTGCACTATAGTTAGGGGTTTTTTTTTTTGGAAAGTTGCACAACCATATATAAAATGCCACCTAGTGTTGTAAACATTTACTTTCTGCATCACCGCTTGACTTACGTGTCCTTGAGAACGGGAACTTTCCATCACATCTGGCTCAACAATAATTTCCGTAAGAGTTTCCCTGAGTTACGGGGTCTTGCTTAGGTTGTGCTCCTTCTTGGTCTATGCTTTGTATCAAATAGATGAAGAGACTAAAAACTCTATGTTCAGTAAATCACGAGGAACCTTCTAGAATTTCCTAGTCGATATAAAATTTCCTAATAGGGCTAAAGGGTAGACATGTTATGAAACTCTTTGTGACGGGGTCCCCAGGGTGCAACCTGGACTGTGGAACTGCTGAGCCCTCCAAAATCCACCAGCCTGGGATGTCTCTCACACTGTGATGTTGATGTCAAGCTACCAAACTCTGATAGGCACTGCACTTACACAGGCGGGGCACACCCAAATGAGTTACATGAATGATCTCCCAGCTACTCATGAACCAACAATAGAGAGGCTCCAGCCAATTCCCACAGCTTCCCAGGCTTGCACCCCAGAACTGTACCATCTTACACTGGCCAGAAGCGGAAAGTGGACATGCACCAGCCTTTGTAATCTGAACAGATTTCCCACGCACTTTAGACAAACTCACTGGTAAGGATAAAACGTTAAAATAAGTATATTAACTACAGAAAGTAGAATTTAAGTGATTATATGTGGTAGGTATAAAGGTCAGAGATAGTTACCTTAAGAAAATAAAAGTAGAAACACATTCTAAATCCTAAACTTTTATTCTAAGCAAGAGTAGATGAACACCTTTTCTCCCCCTGACAGATGGTACAAGCAGGTTACAGTTCCCCAATACACAGACTGGACTCCTTTTCCAGTCTGAAACCAAACTTCCCCCGTTCAGAAACTTTGTCTCCCAGACATGCTTCCAGGTGCTGAGATTTTGGGGGAGGAAAGAGAGAGGCCAAGTGACGATATAACTGTCTCTCTACTTTCTTCCAGCTTGCTGGAAAAATCTTTGCTGTGATGTGAGAACCAGTCAGTCCCCATTGATCAAGCAGTTTCCATTACATATGTGCCTTCTCTAAGGAGTCTCTGGGATAGTGTTTCAGAGTAACAGCCGTGTTAGTCTGTATTCGCAAAAAGAAAAAAAGTACCTGTGGCACCTTAGAGACTAACCAATTTATTTGAGCATGAGCTTTCGTGAGATGAAGTGAGCTGTAGCTCATGAAAGCTCATGCTCAAATAAATTGGTTAGTCTCTAAGGTGCCACAGGTACTCTTTTTCTTTTTTCTGGGATAGTGGATTCTTTCTTGTTGGGTGTTGATGAGCCATTAATGCTGTCTGGCTATTGACGGCTACTCTTTTGTTGTAACTGAAAGGCTGGTTATGGGTGTTCCCAACCTCACAACATATTTCAGTAACACACACATAGCAATACTTCATAACTCCACATACAATGACGGCACATACAATCCAACAGGATATTAATGTTCAACAGATCAAGACTTTTAAAATGATACCTCACAAGGCACACTTTGTACGAAATATATCATAATTATATCACCATGGTGAACATGGAGATTCCAGGATGCTACTTTGGGGTAGCACATGATGCCCCTGTATTTCCCAGTTAATAAGATTAGAGTTATGGAGTATATGATAGAAACATCCTGCCATGGGTGTAGTCAGTACACTGAAATTCACCATGTTTCAGGCCAAGTTCAGCCATCTTTACATTTAGTCGTACCATACTCTGTGGCTGCTGCCATTGATGGAGATGGCAGAATGAGGCCCTTGATTGACAACATGCCTGCCTCTGGAATAGATTATATTGTATGTAACAACATGTGTAATAGCCTTTTAAACCTTCTGACTCCTAAAAATATTAATGTCATTATAGGGCTTAATCTTTCTTTATACAAGAAGTTAATTAATCTTCACACAGTGATGTAGTGTGACACAGGGGAGAAGTTTCAGAATGAAAAGTGCCTACTGTCCATGTGTTTTGATTATGCCATCGTACATTATAGATAAAAGGATAACGGAGCATGGGTAGGGAGTTTTAGCTGCAAAACAGAATAGTAATGGATATAGTAACTGACAACTATAACTTGTCCAAAGTTACTTACAGTAGTAGTTTACTATTAAGTGTACAATTGCAGGTGCAGATAAATACCAACATTTTCGTAAGAGTTGGTTGAGCATGTAATGCAGTTGCAAACAAGGGATTTTACATGCACAGCTGTGCACCTAAATGAGGTCTTTTAGGTAAACTATTGTTCACCGGACTTAAAAATACAAAACACAAAAATCTGAACCAAATAAACATGTGTTCACATTTGCTGACTGATCAGTGCTCTCTTGCTAATCAATATACATGTATCCTCCTGTTTGTAGCCTCATTTGCACTATTTAAGCAGCATAAAAGATGTTCCTTCTTGCCATTCGAATAAATAATGGCCTTTGAAACCAAAAGATGTTTTGTAGCAGATGAAAGCCTAATTTTTACTGATGTTGAGACCACAATATTAACTTAAAATAAGATTTCCCCCCTCCAGATCCCCTTTGAACTCCATTCAGAAACTGAGGATTAAATATTATTCTGAAATATTTTCCTATCTGAACCCCCTTAGCCCATTGAAGTCTACGGGAGTGTTTAAATTGACTAAAATTGGCTATATGCCCTATTAACAGTAAAAATGCCTCTGCCCACCCCATTTTTAATACTGATGGTGAAAGCATGAAATCTTTGAGTATATTTATGTAAATTTGGAAACTTTTTAATGTTTATTTGGATGATGAGATACAAGTTAAGAGCCCGATTCTGGCTCCCCTTCCCATCCAGGTGAAATTTACTCCTATGCAGAGGGGGCCTATGCACCAGTTAAATCCCACTTAGTCCACTTTGAAGATTTAAAGTAGTGCAGGATCCCTTTACATAGGGGTGAATTCCTCCTTTTGAATAATACTTTGTACTATTCCACAAGAAACCCCCTGACAGAGCTAAAACTGGCATTATTGGTGCATCTTGTTCTTGGAAAGATTATTTATACTCTCTCTGCCCATCCCCACCCATAACAGCCAAACTCTGGTCCTGAATTAGACAAATAGAACAGATGCTATATAATATATGTCAGATAACAAGGTGATTTTTTTAAAAAATAAATAGGATTTTAAAATCCCATTAATTTAGTTGCCCAATTAAGCATGGCCATCTGTTTTAAGTACCAGTGTGCATATTGGCTATGCTCACAGGTATGCTAAACACTTATTTCTAGGTTCCTATCTTTTTCTCATAGGTATTTGTAGGGCACCCCTCACTGGTAACAAAGCACAAATATAAGAACTAAAATTCATAATATGTTTGTTCATAATGTACCCATCTCCTCAAGTACCTAACTCTTTTCAAGGCTGCAAGTGATCTTCTACCCTCCAACACACTCACATAAAAAGATTAAAGCTTCATGCAAGGCTATTGTAGGTGCACTTCAGTGTGTAATTGCCAGATTTAGGTATGCAGCTCAAGCACACCTCTTTGAAAATGTAGTCTGTATAAACCAAGTTGCAAGGACAGTTCTACCAGGGAAAATGTGATAAAATCATCTTGACACCTACTGTAGTTTTTAATTCCAGTTTTCTCATTTAATCAATGTGGTATAACAGACTTTGTCACAAAACTTTGAATATCCTGTTCTCTCTAGGTGATTTGCATGGAAAACTGGATGATCTTTTGCTGATATTCTACAAGGTAATTAGATGCTTTATTCCTGAGCATTTTCACTCTTTAGGTTGGCGCTAGGAAAGCAACTGCATACCACACAGGTATTGTTAGGTACTGTGTATGTGATATATATTCACAGAACAATAGGTTGTGCTAGTTCTTTGGCTACTGCTGTCTTTCCACCTCAGCAACCAAATGGCCATTTTGAAGAGAGAAATCTGGGTGTCTTTGGCTCTCTGACAGTTTGACTGAATGCCAAGCAGAGAGCATAGACTAGTGTGATAAACCAAAATGAGAGATGGCTTCTTGAACCTTCTACAAAATCCGGGTGCTACTGTAATATTTTGTAAAGGCTCAGTTCTTCAAAGAGAGAGAGCCAAATTCATCCCTGGTGAAACCCTACATAGTGGCTGATTTAGCCATCATGAAGAATGCAGCAGTTTTCTCAAACCTCTCCAAACCCATTTACGCTTCCAATCAATATCTACAAAAGTGCTTTTTTTTTTTATACTATTTACAGGAAGTGAAGTGCAGAGCACTTCTATCTGCTTAAAAGCTTTCCCTTTTTTGAAAGCAGTCATGCAATTTTGCACAAAATGAAAATATCTTGGGCATCCTCCATTTAGCCTGCAGCAGCTGTTCATGTGTTTCATGTGAAATAAAACATAATTATGCTTTGGTAACGTGGAAAAAATGAAACTCCAGGCTGTCTTCTCTGCAGTTGTATATTTAGCTGAAGGCATAAGAATTTTGCTACAATACGTTCCAAATTTATTTTCTTTTTAGTATGATTCACCACCTTACAGTTTAACAGATACTCCCTCTGATTTCTTTTTGTGACTGATTATTCTGTATTCGTCTGCATTGGCTGGCATGAGTTAATCCAGGTGCTTGAATGATGTAATACCTCTTTGTTTAATTGGCTGAGTTACACTTTCCACTCATCTGTCAGCTGCAAACTTGAATATTTTGTCCAAGCAGAAACCTAATTTAAAAAAAATTAGGACAATACTGACCTAAGCAGGGGTCAACTTCCCATGTTATTAAGTTACCAATTTTAGCTACTTCTTTGCTTTCCTGCCTTTTAGCTGATAGTTCAATGAGACAACTTTTCCATTTCCAAATTGCATATTAGAACAGCATGATAGAACAGTTGGATTCAGCCTACTTTCAATATTCAAAACACATGGCATGGTAAAACACTCTATTTTGGGAGTGAATACTTGAATGTTTATAGCTGCAAACAGCCCTGGATATGACGTACCATTTTAAAATACGGCATTGGAGAACAGGGTTTGTCTCTTAATCAGGAAGAAATAATGAAAACAGCCCTCAGTGTGAGGGAGGAAATCATGACTCTGCTGGAATCAATGGCCAAACTGCCTTTGACATCAGTGGGGCCAGGACTTTACCCAAAGCCTTCCACGGTTAGGAGGTTATTGACAGGATCCTTTCATCAAATGACATAAAAAAGCAAACATTTTGGCATGACTTCTGAGTGCTCAGGGAATTCAGGATTGAGGATCTTACTTATGTGGAGAGTAATTAATTGATGCAGATAGATACAGCTCAGTCTTCAACATAGATTTACATAGTCCTTTGGTTTAGGAATTCCGTAGTGACACTCTCCTGACATGTCCTTGATGTGCCACCAAGTCCCAGGGGCTCCTGCATGGGGAGGTGTATGTATTGGGCCCTACCAAATTCACAATCCATTGTGGTCAATTTCATGGTCATAGGATTTTTAAAATAATAAATGTCATGATTTCAGCTATTTCAATCTGAAATTTCACAGTGTTGTAATTGTAGGGGCCCTGACCCAAAAAACAGTTGTGGGAGGAGGGGAGGGTCACAAGGTTATTGTAGAGGGGAGGTTGCGGTACTGCTACCCTTACTTCTGTGTTCCTGCTGGCAGTGGCGCTGCCTTCAGAGCTGGGCAGCTGGAGAGCGGCAGCTGCTGGCCAGAAGCCCAGCTCTGAAAGCAGAGCTACTGCCAGCAGCGGCGCAGACGTAAGGGTGGCAGGGGACGGCATCGCCACCCTTACGTCTGCAGTGCTGCTGGCGGGACACTGCCTGCAGAGCTGGGCACCCGGCCAACAGCCGCTGCTCTCTGGTTGCCCAGCTCTGAAGCAGCCCAGAAGTAAGGCAATACTGCAACCCCCCTAAAATAACCTTGAGATTCCCCGGCAATTCCCTTTTGGGTCAGGACCCCCAATTTGAGAAACACTGGTCTCCCCCGTGAAATCTATATAATATAGGATAAAAGCACACAAAAGACCAGATTTCACAGGGAGAGACCGGATTTCATGGTCCATGATGCGTTTTTCATGGCTGTAAATTTGGTAGGGCCCTATGTATGTGCAACTGTCTATGCTGGCTCTGCACATCCCAGGGATGCACCATATGTCAGGCGTGTTCTTGGGTGGGGGAGGTGGCTTATAGGCCATGGCTGTTTCGTGGCCACTTTTCATGGGCATAGTCAGCACAAAAGGGTCATGAATGAATTTTCCTTCCTCCTGCTGCCTAATCCTACAAGCTCCAGATCCTCAGCTTGTGTAAAGCATAGTTCAGTTGAAGGAAATAGAGCTGCAGTTTACACCAGCTGGGGATCCAGCCAGCACTACATCTGGGAGCCATTTGCAACTCTATCAGCACCACATTCTTAAACTTAAAAGGAATTTCTTCCTTTGAGATAACAAGTTCTGTTAGCTCCCCATCAGAGGGACAAAGTGATACAACTGTCTAAACACCCAGCTGAAGAATTCCATTTAACTCAGCTGCCTACTGAGCTCCGTGGATTAGAAGTGGCTGCTAACCCCCTTTGGCAAGGTTCAGTTACAGATGTGGTTTACAATACACTCATTGGTTTGCTATCCATATGATTTTTGCCACAATGTATACACATCTCTGAACCATTAATGAATAAAAAAGGATAGGAGCTACATAGGTTTAAATGACAAATTTGATGCTCAGTTGAAGTATTTTACATAATATTATGCCTGATACCTTTTGCTTTCATTTTTAAGAAGATTATCTCACCTTTTCTTAACTGAAGTGTCCAATTTGTAGATACTTCATTCCGGGCATGAGTCTTTGTTAAATTACAGTGTTTCCAGTCATTCACCCAAAGCCTTGGAATTTTAAATAGTTTATTGCTAAATTAGACTCTGTTAAATTGATGTGTAGAGATACCCTGAAGCTGAATAGAAGGCAGATAACAAATAAGCTAATTAACCACTAACACAGAAGATACAATAATGATGCCCAGCAGCAAACAGCCTCACAACACTAGTCTACAAATCATTAGAGAGCTATTTTTTGTTCTCATTTCTGAAGTGTCTCAAGCTTCTATAGATTTTAATTTTGTTTTGCTCTGGAACTATGACTGTCCGTGAACATTGGAGAAGTGGAAATCACTTTAAAACTTGGCAAGAGAACATCAAAGAGCTAAAATACCACTTTGAATTTGGAATCCAGATATAATTGTGTTTTAAGTTCAAAATCTAAACTTGTTTTTAAAAAGTAGGGCTGTGACAAGCTTTTCCAAGAGAGAATTGGTAGAGCTTAGAGAACAAACACCAGCTGATGTTAATCCAATCAATCCAACTTTCCACATACTAATATCAGTTCCTTGCCTTTTCCTCCTGTCTGTGGATGTCCCTGCCCTTTCTGGAGCCTCAAGGATTCCTTCCTTCCTTCCTTTTTCTTTTTTTTCTTTTATTTTTTTTTATTACTAATCACATCAGCCACACTATAAGAGGCTCGTTCACCTGCACATCTACCAATGTGATATATGCCATCATGTGCCAGCAGTGCCCCTCTGCCATGAACATTGGCCAAACTGGACAGTCTCTACGTAAAAGAATAAATGGACACAAATCAGACGTCAAGAATTATAATGTTCAAAAACCAGTCAGAGAACACTTCAATTTCTCTGGTCACTCGATTACAGACCTAAAAGTTGCAATTCTTCAACAAAAAAACTTCAGAAGCAGACTCCAACAAGAGACTGCTGAATTGGAATTAATTTGCAAACTGGATACAATTAACTTAGGCTTGAATAGACACTGGGAGTGGATGGGTCATTACACAAAGTAAAACTATTTCCCCATGTTTATTTCTCAACCCCCACTGTTGCTCAGACGTTCTTGTCAACTGCTGGAAATGGCCCACCTTGATTATCACTACAAAAGCTTCCCCCCCCCCCCCCAGCTCCCCTGCTGGTAATAGCTCATCTTAAGTGATCACTCTCCTTACAGTGTGCATGGTAACACCCATTGTTTCATGTTCTCTGTGTATATAAATCTCCCCACTGTATTTCCCACGGTATGCATCCGATGAAGTGAGTTGTAGCTCACGAAAGCTTATGCTCAAATAAATTGGTTAGTCTCTAAGGTGCCACAAGTACTCCTTTTCTTTTTGTGAATACAGACTAACACGGCTGCTACTCTGAAACCTACTTTAATTCACTTCGTTTTCAGACTCTCATAGTTACAGTCCTTTTTGTGACCTTTAATTCAGAAACTGCCTGAATTAGAGGGAAGTTGCTGCAGGGGATGAGCATGCTGCTTTTGCAACATTCCCAGCCTGTGCTCTCCAGAGGATTGAGAGACCAGAATGAGAAATCAAATACTGCTATCTTTTAATAGCAGGGCGAACAGCAATCATCGGACGCCTGATCCAAACCCACTGAAATCAATGGAAAGATGCCCTGTTACTTCATTAGGCTTTGGATCAGGCCTTAGGCCACCAATTTGCATACAATAGTGGGCCCCATCAGTGTCCCATTTCACTCCCCCAGAATGAAGTCAATTGGGAGGCACTTTGTCAAGGAGTCTCATAGCTGCCCAAGAAATGCTGAGTAACTTGTGCTGTGCCCCGGGGATGTAATGTTTTGGGTGACTTCACAGTATTGGAGTTGGACTGTGTTAAAGTGTATGGTGATGATCTGTCAGTAATGAGTCTGTATGCCAATGTCTAGCAGGTTTCTTTCTGGCAGGGTAATCTCTATAGCAAGTCAGAAGTGGAATAAACAGTTCTAACATTCATACCCCTTAGAAATGATGGAGATATAAACATTGACGTCATGCTTCCTGTAAGATGACAGTAGCCACTGGTATGTTGACAACCAATGCAGGTAAAACATAGTACAATAGATTCACTAAGGTATATCTCTAAATTGTCATTCATAAAATGACAGTAGAGTGTCCCATGGGCACCTCGCCTCCCATTCACATCGAACAGACCTCCTCCCCACCATTTGCAATTGTATCACTTCCCTGCAGCAATGGCATTTATGGGAAAATAATATTACATTAGGAGAGTAATGATTTGATTGCTCCTTTTTAATATAATTTAGCAGGTGGAAGCAAGGCTTAGAGTTAGCACCATGTGAGGCGTCAGATTTCCATGAGTCATCAGCAAGTGCTTTGCAAACCTCCAGTAGTCCAAAGATCACAGTGTGGGGACCTCTGTCCTAAAGAGGAGAGAACAATGTGACAGCACTCTCTCTCTAAATCCATGTGTTATGTAGATGACCTAGCAATACAACCTGTGTTGCTTGCAGCTCCACTTTTTCATATTATAAAAACAACCATAACATGACATACAATCTGAAAACCTCTAGCCTTTGTTTTTGGAAATTCATTTTAGTCTATGCCTGTTAAGTACATTGCCTCACCAACTTTGCTTGTTTTGTTTCCTTCTGCAGAATGGCCTGCCTTCAGAAGAAAACCCTTACCTTTTTAATGGAGATTTTGTGGATCGGGGGAAAAATTCTGTTGAAATACTTATTATCCTGTTTGCCTTTCTTCTTGTCTACCCCAACCATTTACACTTGAACAGAGGGAACCATGAAGACCATATCATGAATCTGAGGTAACATTTTCTTCTGTTCTTTTTCCATGCAAATGTCACTGAGTTGAATGCCTTTTTGATCCTTTTGCTATGGTTATGATGAATCTAGTTACCACAGGTTTGTCTCATACAGAAACAAGTGTTTTATTGGGCACTCAGATGTTAATTCTGCATCTTAATCTAGCAGGGGGAAGGGATATTTCTACTAACCCCCTTAAACGTGGATCTGATTCATTTCTCACTCAGGGACCAATTCGCAGCCCACTGAAGTCAATCAACTTTGCAGAGCTTTCAGGTATATGAGATTTTGAGGCACAATCCATATTTTGTTTGAATCGGGTTGCCTGTTCCACAGCACTGATAAGGCAGGTGGTGTTCCATCACCAAACAAGTGATGCTCCCTGCCCAAATACGTTGTAACACCAGGAGAAATGCACTAAGATAGGAGCCAGGAGACCATGAGCTAAAATCCCACCTCTACTGACTGCTGTTTCTCAGCATCAGAGACTTCCTTCATTGTACAAATAAGTTAATTGATAGGCTGCACAAAGTGATCTCGGGAATAGCTAAGGCTGTGGGCAGACCCAAGTCTCATCCATTCAGCCACATTGCATCTCAGGAAAAAAAATATGCCAAAGCAACGTTAGTAGCTATCCTGATTGTACCCCCGGGGCTCACTGCTGGACAACGCTTCTCCCAGGCACAGGAAAAGAACCCAGCAATCCTGATCCCCATCATTCTACTGCTGTCTAGCAAATAGTTGCCTGACCAAATAGTAAGAGATGAGTTGTATCCCCCTCTTGTGATCATTACATAGAGGGGAAATTACTCTCTTAGCTCAAGTAGTAGAGAGCTATGCGGGGAGCTCGGGTTCAGAATTCAAACCTTGTTGATGTTCCATGGGAGAGGATCCTTATGGTTGCAATAATGACATTTATTTTCCCAGGGTTGTTTTTTACAAAACTGGTTTGTTTAATTCACACAGTGAGACAATGTCCTTAAAAATGGAGTTTATAATGAAAAAACATAAACCTGTCAATTATGGTGCGATGTGCAAGAAAGCTAAGATGTTCCGATTATGGTCATTTGTCACATATTTTGAGTGGTTGTATCACACATTGGCTAATTTGAAGGCTGAGAGATGTGGGGCTTTGGACACCAGGACTTCATTCCACTGAAATCAGGAGTTACAATCATATAAAACCAATGGAAGATCAGAATCCTGCCCTTTGTGAAGCACGGACATGGTGGGCGAGCTTTTGGAAAGAACGTAAATGATTTAAGAGGACAATTCCCATTGACTTTCACTGGGACTTGTGCTCTGAAGTCACTTAAGTGCCTTTGAAAATCCGTAAGGCAAAAGAATTGCATGAAATTTCTCTTTTGCTAATGGGCAAGAGCCCACCAATTCCTTTTGCTCTAGGTTCTGTTTCTGCCCAGGAAGTTTTGGCTCCATTAACATTGTATCATGGTCAAAACTCATTCTCAAGCAAATGAATCAGAGTAGCCATTTGTGTATATTGTTAAATCAGGAAAATGTATGGAAAAGTTATGGGGGTGGAAGAGGAAAGAGGGAATGGAGAATTCCTAGAAGTTACTGTAGTTTTCATTTTTTTGTAATTATTATTGTTGAAGATTTACAGTGTATGCACTAGCTATAATGGCAGAAGTAATGTTTCACATGAATCATAGAAACTATTGCCGGGTTATAGTGAAAAGTGATCATGCAGAAAGCCAGTTTGTGATGCTGTCTCTGTTTTTTCAGATATGGCTTCACAAAAGAAGTTATGAAGAAGTACCGGGTAAGATATCTTTTCTCCCCCCTTATTTGCTTCCAACATGTGCAAACTGAAGTGTGTGTTAACAAGAAGATTTGCTCTCAAGAATGTAGTGTAAATACAGAGTAATTCTATCAAGATCAATGGAATTATTTTGCATTTATACAAGTGTAACAGTGAGATTAGAATTTGAACAGTTAGTTTTACTTATGTACAGAGATGTATGAAGTAAAATAGGAAAAGTTTATGAAGCCAAACAATAAACATCAGAAAAAATGACGCTGAAAGAGTAACAAAATGATCAAGGCAGAATCAAGCAGTCCTGAAGGTAAATTTTGGAATGTATATATTCATATTATATTTCTGGGTTAAACCAATGGGCATAATTGTTCATACAGATTATTGAAGTCCAAGCAAAACAATGAGATCAAAAGAAACTTCCACATTATTTACTTGTTGTGATAAGCACCAGTGACTTTCAAGAATGATATCTAATAAAATAATATATTTTACAGTCCCATGGCAAAAAAATTTTAAATCTTCTGCAAGATGTTTATAGCTGGCTTCCCCTTGCCACTGTAATTGACAGCAAAGTACTAATTGTACATGGAGGAATATCAGACACCACTGATTTGGATTTCCTGAATTTATTTAAGAGAAATAAGGTAAGAGACTGTACTTCTGTAGAGTTACCTTTATTCTGTTTGTGATCTCTGAAAGTGTTTACTAGTAAAAATATTAAGGTAAAGTTATCTAAGCATTTTATAGATTTAGAGAAGACAGTAGATACTACCTAAAGAAAATACAGCAAAATAGAGACAATGACTTCTTCAGAAGGAAACATTTGTGGTGAATGGTGCCAATGGACATATGAGCCAAATCTTCAGCTGGTGTAAATGAGTGTAGATCCATTGAGATAAGTGGAGCTACACCAATTTACACCACCTGAGCATCTGACCCACTATATAGTAAGACCATATGTTTGTCTAGAAAATATGAAAATTACCTTATTTTAACAACTTGCAGAAGTTTCAGGAGAACTAGGAAATCCATCAGTGTGTGAATTTCCTCCTTTTTAATCCAGTTCAACTTTCCTTTAGTGATAGTTGTGCACTGGGGCCCCAGCCCTACAATCTGATCTGTGCAAGCAGAACTCCTCGGCCTGCATGGAGCTACTTTGCAGCTGGGTGAAATCCCACAGAAGTCAAAAATCTCTGCCTATTTGGATCCTGTTTCAGGATCAGACCCAGAGGCAGCCAAAATTCCACTTTTCATAACTGAAACAAGTTCAGAAGACAAGAGGTCAAATTCGGCCCTGAGATTAAGCAGGTGCAACTCCTGCTGAAAACAGTGGAAGTTACTAACACCATTATTATTAATGCAGCTGCTATGCAACGCATAATTAACGTGTGAAATCACCTCTGCAGGAGAGTATTGAAATACTTTAGTAAGAGTCAGACATTTGTGAGCCGGATTCCAAATGCACTGGCATTTGTGGTATTCCAAACTGATACCTGGCACAATTTGCTGCCAGAAGCAGTTTCTATATCTAGCTATTATTTTTTGGCACGCTACACAATCCCCACTTATATTTTTGAGTCAGTGCCTTAGGTAGATAACAACTGTCTGGATGTTGATCAAGACCATGGGGAAAGACAGCTTCGGCTCAGATATTTAGGACTCTGTGGAAGAAAATTATGGTAGTAGTAGATTCAATTTTCTTTTTCTTTAATAAATTGTTTAATACACACACTTTTTTGGCTAAAAAAATGAGCTAGTGCAAGTGACTCTCAAAAGAATATGCAAGAAGCAGCCTGACTCTTTCAAGAAAAGGTTTGTTTTAAAATGAATTGCCATAGCCAACCTATGCAGCTCTAGAAGAGCACTAGCCCTGGTGAACAATCAAGGAGCTTAGGTTTGTTTAAGGGTATAGTGTCTGATTCTCTACTGGGTTACTCCCGTTTTATCCTGGTGTTATTCCATTGATTTCAACTGAGTTAAACCAGAGTAATGCTAGAATAAAGAGTGGAGAATCAGGTCCATGTTTCTCAGTGAATACCATTTCATCCCCAATGTTATTGATAAAGGGGCAGATTTTCAACATAGGTATCTAACTTCCAATGGAATTAGGTACTGAAGTTTCTACCGGGAGTTCAAGAACTGTATTTGGTGAAAAGTTAAAACTCAGAGTTTAAATCCAGAGTAGTGATGAGTTAATATTTCCTTCAAGCAGTTGTTGCTGAGATATGGAGCATATGATGAAATATAGTGCATCTTTGACTTTTTTGATTTATATAAGCATCAATGAATATGCACTGATGAGTCTGTCTTTTAGATGAAGTCTATGCTGAGACCACCGAAATCAAGCACAGAGAGAAACCATGACCTGGAAAGAACTGACTTTGTAGAGTACTCTCCTATAATAAGAGTCAAGAGATGCCTTCCTGGGCAAGCTATTGCTGTCAAAGGAATGACCAGGCCTTCATCATCTAGCCATAGAAGACGATACACCGGTGATCTATTGGATGCTGGGGAGCACAGGTGGCTGCTTCATGATGGTGCTAGCTCTGGCCCGCTCCTAGATGCACAGTATCTAGAGTGCGGTGTTCATATGCCGAGCGTGCCTTCAGAATTAACAGCAAAGGAATGGAAACAAGTATGTGAAACCAAATACAGACTTCTTAAAAAACAAACTATTTGTATAGGCAAATGGAATTTATTTTGTGTAAACAGGATGTTTTGATTCTGAGATGAATAGAGAAAACTTTTTCTTTCAGACATCATTCTGGGCAGTCAAGGCGATTTTCATTATGGCTGACTCTACCGTCTACCTCTGGTCATTCAAATGCATTTCAAGACACATCACTTTATTCTACAAATAAATATGTTTTATGTACTATATTTTCTCAGTGTTCAAAATGTCTCAATAGCAAACATTTCAATCCATTTCAATAGTATCTGATGCAGTTGAGTGTCCTTGTGTGGTAGGATCTGATAGTACAAAAGGTACTTTTAGTTTCAATGGGCTATAATTTCACAGTCGTCAGTCAAAAACTGCACCTATTTTGTGGTTGCAGTGCACACACGAGCAGGCTTGGGGAGCTGGACGCTAACCTACCCAACAAATCCCAACTCCTCGGGTTTGTGGTATGCAGGGCCTGCTGATTGTTCAGGGAGAAGGGATTTACCTTTGTCATCTTCCCTCCATTTTTGCCTTGTTTACCAAAGAACAAGATTAAGCCCTCAGTGTACAATAATTTAATGAATTGTGACAACTCTGTGATTTTAATTCACAGAGCTGTTTGTAATCTGAAAAAATAATTGTAAGGCAGGGGTATATTTTCCAAGTTTCTCTTTGGTCAGCTCCTTTAAGCAGAAGTGGATGGTTATATTGGCTTCTGTGTGGGCAACTCTCTTCTAACATAGGAAACCTGCCTCCTGCCACTGACCCATGTGACTTAGGAAAGCAGGTCCTTAAACTAATACAATGGAGACTGATAAAACTCTAGTGTAGAAATTAGACTATTCTTTTGAAATGTGAGTCTTCCAAAGACAACAGAAAACAAAAAGCAAGTGTTTTGTTCTCTCTGGAGAGTATTAGTTTCTGAAATTGTTTGGAAATACAGTATAAAATCTACCTAGTGATTTACATTTAAAAACTCAACTCAGATGGCTTTTGTTTAATAAAGGCAAATAGAAAGAAATGTTTTCCAAGCAAAAGGAATGTATTAGTTTAAGGAAATAAAGAAAACCTGAGAAGTCTAGCTGTATCTTATTGTGCTTAGGGCCCCTGTAATAGCCAGCATTTCTAAATAAAGTCCCAGGTTGTAGCCTATGTTGTACTAATTGTCAGTAATCATGTGTGTTGGTTTGCTCTTCAAAGGTGGCTGATATTCTTTGGAGTGATCCAAAAAACCAGAATGGCTGCACACCAAACAAATCTCGAGGAGGTGGTTGCTACTTTGGGCCCGATGTTACTGCCAGGCTGCTTAAACGGTATAATCTGAAGATGCTGATCAGGTCTCATGAATGCAAACAAGAAGGTTATGAGATCAGTCATGATGGGCAGGTAAGATTGTCACGTATAAAATAAAATGCTGCTGTGAACTTCACAGAAAACCCCATAGGAGTAACCTCAAATTTATCAGCTAAGTCAATTGGTGAAAAAGAGTGAGTTCTATAAAACAGGTATTGGGAATATTCACAGTACTCATGTGAGGTTTTCTTAGGCAAAACTTCCCTCACCTTGAAGGGGAGATTTGTTAATGACAACAAGAATGGCGCCATAGCCACCCGTGCTTTGAAATCGCTGAAAACCTCCACTCAAGTCACACTGTCTCTGCCTTAGGAAAGTGCATTTTTTAAAAAAAGCGTGTCTCTGTGTCTCTGAAAAAAGCACTGAAAGGCCCACTGACTGTGCAGACCGGCACTTTGTAATAGAAACATTATAGGGCTTACTGCACGTGCTTCTGCGACTTGTTTTTTGCACACTGGAAATTTGTCAGGACAAATGCTAGTTAGAGCTGCATCACTGAGGGTAGAGAAAGAATCTGAACTACGTTTTTGTGCCTGAAATCTTACCCTGGGTAAATTCTAGTTTTGGGAAATTGAGAGGGAAGATGTTCCTGGGTCATTTCCTGTTACTCAAGCCTAAAATTCCAATAATCTTTTTGTAGCTATGCTATAGTCCATTATTATGAGTTACATTCATTATTGCATGGGTTTGCAACCTGAGGGTCATGACCAATGTTCCCTCTAATTTTGTACAGCCATGTGCGGAATGAATTTTGTTATGTGCACCAGTATGGAGGTGATGTGTGGTGGGGGTGGAGCCAAGGGGTTCGGCATGTGGGAGGGGGCTCAGAGCTGTGGCACAGGGTTGGGGTGCAGGGGGGTGAGGGCTCTGGCTGGGGGTGTGGGCCTTGGGTTGAGGCCAGGGATGAGGGGTTCAGGGTGCCAAAGGGGGCTCAGGGATGGGGCAGAGGGTTGGGGTGCAGGGGGGTGAGGGCTCTGGCTGGGGGTGCAGGCCCTGGGGTGGGGCCAGGGATGAGGGGTTTAGGGTACCCTGGGGCTGCGGCGGGGAGAGAGGGCTCCCCCCAGGCCTCTCTTGCCGCAGCAGCTTGGGGCAAGGGGAGAGGCACCTCTCCCTGGCTGCTGCAGCTCCAAGCCCAGGGCCGGGGCCAGGGCTCTTCTTCCCAGCTGCGGCAGCTCCAAGGCTGGAACTGGGGCAGGGGCGCCTTTTCCTGGCCACAGAAGTTCTGAGGCTGGGCCAGGGGAGGGGTGCCTCTCCCCATCTGCGTGGCCCTTGTTAGCATGGTGCGCGGCCGTACAGCTTAGAGGGAACTTAGGTCATGACCACCCTGTCCTTCTCATGTTGCTAATGGGAGATGAGTTCCAGTGTAGGAAAGGTCAAGACCCACTGTATTGTAAGTATATCAACGTACATGTTACTTTAATTCATCTGAGTAATTTCCTTCATCTTCTTGGCCTCTCTCTCTCTGACACACATGGCTAGAAGGAAGGGAAGGAGATTCAAAACCATTTAGACCCCAGGGAAATGTTGCCTTTGTGGCAAGTGTAATTATATGTTGTTTGTCTTATAAAGTGAAGTCCTCATGGAAAAAGTAAAAAATGAAGTCCTGAAGCAGGACTAGAGTTGACATTTTGTTTAGTTGAGCAGCCATTGGCAGGCTTATAGATTTATTAGGGTTTTACACTTGTTTTAATTCATTTTGTAACCTGTCTCAATTTTCTAAAGCCAGTTTTAAACTTCAGTCCAAAAAGGGGGCAGCTTTAATCAATCCCACTGATTTCTTTTTTTTCTTTTATTATCAGGTTATCACTATTTTTTCTGCCTCTAACTACTATGAAGATGGCAGCAACCGTGGTGCTTATCTCAAACTGAATCCTGATCTGATACCTCGCTTTGTGCAGTATCAAGTCAGTAAATGCACACGCAAACAGACTCTTCACCAGAGGTACAGTAAGGACAACACATCTAATGGATACAGGCATAGGCGCCGACTCCGTGGGTGCTCCACCCAAGCTCACCCCTCCCCCCCACTCCCGCCCGCCAGTGGTCCCTGCCAATCAACTCCCAGTGCCTCCTGAACAGCTGTTCTGCAGCATGTGGGAGTCACTGGGATGGAGCGGGGAGGAGTGGAAACGAGGGGTGCTCGGAGGAGGGGGCGGAAAGAGGCGGGGTGGGGGTGGAGCAGGGATGGGAAGAGACGGGTTGGTGATGGGGCCTTGGGGGAAGGGGTGGAGTGGAGGTGGGGCCTGGGGCTAAGTGAGGGTTGAGCACCCCTGGGGAAAATTAGAATCCGGTGCCTGTGGATACATGTACAGTGTATCAATACGAACCCAGAATGTGTGAATTGTTCATGGCAGAAGTTACAAGAGAGGTTTAATTGTATTTGCACAGCCCTTTACGTTACTTGGTTTTCTTTTTTTTTAAATGGATTTAAAAACAAATGTGATAACAGATAAAAGGGGTTCCAACAGCTCTAATTTGATTGTTCTGAGTTATTTGCAGTGCTATAAAAAGAATCAAGGATTTGAATTGTATAAGACAGCAAATGTACAGGATATGTCAAGCCTGGTTCGCCATTGTATGACACCATTTTCACACCGGTGTAATGCCATGGCGTAAAACTGGAGTAATACTGGTGTGAATCAGGCCCAAGAATTTTGTCAGAACAATTCTGCCATGCATGACACTAGAGTCCACTTTGCTAATGTAAAGGACTTATAACTTGACTGTGTAATGTCTGTCATGAATAACTCAGCCACCAAATAAGCTCAGACCATTCTTTTGGGTTTTTTAATGTCACTGTTTTAGGGGGCTCGTTGCAGGGCTCCTAAACTGAGATTGTTTGTTACAGGGGATTGGTACACAATAAATACTGCATATGGAAAAATTTGAAGAGCTAGAGAATTTCAATCCTTGAATTGTCCACTCTGATTGTTTTCTTCATAGGGTGAGTGTAGTTGAATGGTCTGCATTAAAGTCATTACGAGAGAAACTTTACTCCCGGAGATCAGAACTCATTGCAGCTTTCAGACAGTATGACCCAAATGACACAGGTAATGAAACCAACCACAGATGAAAGTAATTAGCTCTTAAAATTAAGTTACCAGCATTGTCATCAAATAGGACCAAAAATGCACTCTCTCTAAAATTTAGTTAACAGCTATTAAGTATCTGGATTTGTATTATTATTTGATTGTATTATGAATAGAACATTATTTCTTCTGTGTAGTAGGATAGTTTCCCATGTAAAGACATACAAACACTGCATAGAACAAACATCCCACAAACTGGAGTACATCAAGAGTACCGTTTGTCTGAATACTTGATACATATCAGGAGCACAACATATTTTTCACATGAATGGCATCCACTGAGGAGACTGCAATCTGTAAAATAAATGATTAAACAAAGGAAGAGCCTAATTCTGTGAGAGACTGAATACCCCCAATTCCCAGTGAAGTCAATAGGAGCTAAGGGCCCTCAGCACCTTACAGGAGGTGCTCAACACTTCAAAGGGATCAGGCCCTAAATATGCCTGTCAAAAGGCTGCTGTTGGATGCCATTGGAGTAGGTCCAGAAAATGGTCTTCTGCTTTGTCCTTCATTACTGGATCTTTGCCAATGCTCATATAAGTATAAGGGAGAGTAGAAGAATATGCCAGGGAATCAAGGATGCATCATAGTGCACTGCTGGATGGAAGTCTTGTGAAGAATTTCAGGGTTTTGCATTTGTGAGGCCTGGCGAATGGACCCAAGCCATGCTAGGTGGGTGTGGGTTTCATGAGCTCCCAGAATTCTCCATAAGTGAGGTGACAGTCTGAAGAATGTCCCTGGCTCCGGGAGGCCTTTCACCCTGGACAAGGCATCAGCCACTCCATTTTCTGTCCAAAGAATCATAGAATCATAGACTTTAAGATCAGAAGGGACCATTATGATTGTCTAGTCTGACCTGCACAACGCAGGCCACAGAATCTCACCCACCCACTCCTGTAACAAACCCCTAACCTATGTCTGAGCTATTAAATTCTTCAAATTGTAGTTTAAAGACTTCAAGGTGCAGAGAATCCTCCAGCAAGTGACCCGTGCCCCACACTGCTGAGGAAGGCGAAAAACCCCCAGGGCCTCTACCAATCTGCCCTGGAGGAAAATTCCTTCCCGACCCCAAATATGGCAATCAGCTGAACCCTGAGCATATGGGCAAGACTCACCAGCCAGACACCCAGGAAAGAATTCTCTGTAGTAACTCAGATCCCACCCCATCTAACATCCCATCACAAGCCATTGGGCATATTTACCGCTAATAGCTGAAGATCAATTAATTGCCAAAATTAGGCTATCCCATCATATCATCCCTTCTATAAATTTTTCAAGCTGAGTCTGGAAGCCAGATATGTCTTTTGCCCTCACTGCTTCCCTTGGAAGGCTGTTCCAGTTAGATTCCATACCTTTGAGTGCACTCGGGACAAGTATCAATCCGCCATCCTCCACTGAATAACACATAGCACTTTGTACTACCCCACTTAGGCCCAGTGGGTTTCTTGTTCCTGGGAATTAGGAACTGCACAAAAGCTTCTTCCAAATCAGGAGTGTCCAGAGCTGCCTCTCACTGTATTTCAGCACAAGGTTTCTGAAAATGGGGGGAGGAAACCTGACCAGTTCACTTATTCATATAGGAGCCTGATGGATTGTGTTGGACCCTGTGTAGCTTTGTTATAGGAGAGCTGTGAAGTATGGAATTTTTTGATTATCCAGCCTGATTTGCTGCCTCAGTATCCGGGGAGCTTCCAGTTACTATTTGTGTGGGAAACCATCTCATGTTTCCTGGGAGGTGGGGTTTAGGTGTGACAGTTAGTCAATGGTGCATGCTTCTTTCCAGGTAAAATGAGTGAAGGGGTTGGTACTGAAGTCCAGGCCTTAGGGCCTTAAGCATCATACTAGGAGAGGAAATCCAGCTAAGAAAGAAGTGGGCAGCTGAAGAAATTCACAGATAGAAAGTGCCCCAACTATGAAAGTAAGGGTTTGGGCAGGCACAAGTCCAGCAGTGCTAAGGCAGTCTCTGCCTCGGGAGCATTTCTAAACTCCTCCATTGCTAGACATCTTCAGAAAGCTATGTCGGTGTGGAACTGAGATCAGGGGTAAAAAGCCAGAGAGTGGGCACCTCCTCCATATAGTCTGAAAAGTCTCTAGAATGGGCGAAGCTGTTGGGCAATACCACTAGAGAACACAAACACTGAGGCATCAAGTGAAGGTAAATCTGTGGTTGGTTGACATTGGATGGACTATTTGCATAGGAATAGGGATTGAAATCTTTGGGCACCAGAAATCTTTTCCTCATTACACTACCTCACTCCATGTCCTTTAAAGGTGATAACCGAAATGTTAAGGTCTTAAACACCATTTCAGAGCTAAACAGTCAAGTCACATTTTCTAGGTCTTATGTTACCCTATCAGCTGCGCATGGTAATATAGCTACAGTATATGTTTGCAGGACCTCAAATCTGTAACATTCCTTTTGAATAAAGTAATTGCTCAGTATACAGTTATTTCAAATGTACTAAAACACTTCAATATTGTCTAGTTTTTGTGTCAAAGAATATTTGTATTAGACTATTCTGCAACTCTTTAAAAAAACAGCAACAAAAATTGCTAGCAGTTAGTAAGAGTGTGTTGTTTGGCATGCATTTATAACCATGAAATGATCCATTTTGACAGGAAGAATTTCTGCCACTGAATGGGCCTCAGCAGTGGAATCTGTTTTACATCTGGATCTCCCATGGAGGACTCTGCGTTCTCGGTTGGTGCAGCTTGCTCCAGGTGGAAATGTCGAGTATCTTTCATGTTTTAATGATTTGGAAATAAAGCCAGCTATAAAAGAGGTAAGAGGAAAAAGAGTCATATCCAAATCTTACAGGAACATTTTCTTGGAAGCTGGATGGACAATTTCTTGGACAATTGAGGCCAGATTTTCAAAATACTCAATTTCCATGTAGGAAGCTAAATAAAATGCTTTTCAAAAAGTGCTAAATAGGAAGTGAGCTCCTTTACATCTCTCCATTTATTAAAGTGATTTAAGGATTTATCTGCACTGTTAAGTGAAGGTCTGATTGTAGTATGGGTAGTGTAGCGGGGTGGACACCCGCTCGGGCCCAGAGGGGTTTAAGATAGCCCTGGGAGAGGGATAGGGCAGGGGAAGAGCTGGGCTGATTGGCAGAGCAGCCGCGGCTGGGGGCCATGCCCCAAACAGACCCAGTGGGCCTTATAAAAGCCAGGGAAGCCAGGAGCAGAAGAGACACCCTCTTTCTAGCTGTGAGAGGGAGGGACCTGGCTGCAGAGACCGAAATAGAGGACCTAGTTTGGTGCAGGGCTGGGGAAAGGCCAAGGGAGCTGGGGAGCTCTGGCCTAGAAAAGCCCCAGGCTGCGAGCCTGGTAAGGTCTATTAGGTACGGGAGTTGCAGGGGCAGCCACGGGTAGGCAGAGGCAGCAGGTCCAAACCCAACCTTGCTGGTGATGAGTGGCTCATACTGCAGTCTGCCCTAGGGCGCAGGGGCTAGCTGGTGACAGGCAGGAGCCTATGACTGAGGTGAGGTAGGGATAGTGGGTGGGGGGTTCCCCTGGGAGGGAGAGACCCAGAACTGTGGGGTACTGCCAGGGGGCAGCACCCAGTGAAAGGGGCACCGGGGTCCTGGGAGGGACACGGGAGCCAGCAGCAAGGCGAGACACCGGCCTGAAGAGGGCGCTCCAGAAGCTGGTGAGCTAATTCCCTGAGATGACTAGCAGGGGCCGCGGCCGGTGAGTCTGCGCCCGGTTACAGGTAGGCATACCTTAAATCTAGCTAGCATGAGTAACAGTAGCAGTGAACACGTGGTGGCATGAGCTTGTACTTGGGCTAGCCACCTGAGCGCAAGTCCGCTGGGGATCCTGGGTACATACTCAGGTTGCTAGGCTGTGCTGAAGCCCGTGCTTCCATTTCTATTGTTAGCTGTGCTAGCTAGATTAAAGCTGCCATGGGTATGCCTACCTGTGCTTCAATCATGCTTTCACTTGCAGTGTGAACTTTCCTAAATAGGAGCACTTGGGTGCTGAGCCCTTTTGGAAGTCTGGCCTGTTGTCGGTAGCTACCGGTGTGGTGCTCCGCTCTTGTTCGATGATGATAACAGTCGGCTGCATGCGTGTTCCCTCTGTGTGCTGCCCCAGCTCTGCGCAGATAGCTAACACAGCAGACCCCAAGAGAACCCCCAAAAACCACAGACTCTAGTAAGGTACGAAGGAACCTGAGCCAGGTTTATTGTCAAACGAAGTACGGAAATAGATCCCTATAGACTCTACAGGGCATATTACGAATTTGTGCTCCCTGGCAATGGACACAGCTCAGTCAGTGGTGGGATACTCCACTGCCCTCTAGGCTGGACAAAGATGTGTGCTCTAGGACCTACTTTTATACTGTTGCAGGACAGATTACTCATCATAGTTCAAACGAATCTATCCATCATGTTGTCCTTTTGACCCTGTCTTTAAGATGCACCTGCCTGTTCCTTGTTACGTCTATGGATTGTCTTGCCACCGTCTTGGCACAAGTTCTCCTCATTAGCACTTGTGTGTGTGTGCGTGTGCGCACGTGCCTCTAACAGCCTTTTCTTGCCAACTTCTGTGAGTGGGACCTGCCTCTGGCTCACAGCCCAGCTTTGCTTGTCACTGCCTGGAAGTACTTTGGTTCAGGCTTCAGGCCTCAGACTGGGCCTCTGATACAAGAATTTATGTTTCAGGGTGTCCTCTTACTACATGGCCTGTAGCTGAAGTTTCCATTTTTTTTCAAAGTAAGAACAGCCGGGTCACTTTCCATATGCACCTTTAAGTTGTGTGTCTTTGAGAGCATAATATGCAGCACCCTGACAAGTTATTTGCGCTTTCATTAATAATCACTTATCATAGATGTGAAAGGCTCCTTATCCCAGTGACAATTCTCGCTGCCACCTAGTCGCAACGTATCTGGCAACTGAAAGACAGACAAGTATTGTCTACTGCGGTTTGTTCAGGGCCGGGGAGAAACCCCTGCTTGGAAGCTGTGCTAAAGGAGTCTTTTTAATGTTTGAAAATGTATGCTTTGTGTATTAGTTTTGTTTTTTAGATTGGTACAATGTCTGTCCTGTTTGTTAGTCTAAATCAGATTGAGGTACGATCTGCCCACGGATTGTAATTTCAAAATCTTTTTAGGTTCAACCAGCTTTGGTGGAAACCTTGTACAGATACAGAACTGATCTGGAGATAATCTTTAACATCATTGACAAAGATCATTCAGGTACATTGGGGTAATTTCTGCTTACTACTACAGGTCTATGAAGCATCTATTTGTTGTTATTGTGGGTAAGTGATGTGTGTCTCCAGCCAACATTATATAGCAAATAAATTCCAACGGTGGTAGGTGGCAGATAGCCCTTTTGAGGGGAGACAGGTGAGTTGAATAGTGCACTGCTTCCCCCTTCTGTCTCCTTTAGGTCTGATCTCCATTGAGGAATTTCGCCAGACATGGAAGCTCTTCAATTCTCATCTCAAAATCGACATAGATGATGAATCCATTGACAACCTAGCCCGCAGCATTGACTTCAACAAAGATGGCAGCATTGACTTCAATGAATTTTTAGAGGCCTTTCATGTGGTTAATAAATTTGAAAACAAGTAGAAGCAGAATTCGTTTCAGAAGTTCTTGTCAGGAGCTTGCATGTTTGCTGGTGATATTATGCTGCACTGAGAAACATAATGCCTGTCTGAGAGAGAATGGACTGCTCGTTCTGATAAGGCAGCATGGTAAACATATGAGGTGGAGAACCAGAAGCATTGTGCTGTTTGGGGAAGTCATTGCTCAGCCACTTGTAAACTGTGGACAGCTGCTACACAGGAGGATATTAATGATGAGAGAGAAGAGATGAAAAACTTTAACTGCCTTCTTATGGGGTGGTTGGTTGCCTGATGGTAGAGCAGGACACGGCCATATTAGCAACTTGTTTGATTCCAGTCCTTGTTTCTTTATCGCCTGACCATTGGGAACTTGATCACTGCCAGTGTAGCTCCTTTAACCTTGTGGGAAGTTAAGGTGATCTTCTTTGTGTGGCTCAACAACAGTCCTCACAGATGAGAAGAATTGATGTACTCTGAAGGAAGTCCTTTCTGGTCCTGCTTGATTGATCAGATGGTGTTTCCAATGAGGGATATGATAGGGAAAAGTAGAGAGATCCTTTGGACCAGCTATTCCTAAGGTTGAAAACTGAGAGGAGAAACACTCATCTACAGAAACTATTCTACATTTAAACTAGTATTTTGCATGATGCTAATAAATTAATAATTTCAGTTCAATACTACCTCTCTTACTATTGTTTACATACATAGCCTATTATTTAAAGACAAAGTGTTTGCTTGTTACTGATTCCCCCGTGTGCTAGGAGAGTTAATGAAATTCTTTTGAAAAGCCTGCCCTTATGTTTTTTTTTTCTGAATAGGTCTCATTATGATAAGAATGGAGATCCATTAAGTTTAAACTCAAAATACATGTTATTGTCTTGCATGGGCATAAATATGTGGTCAATAACAGAATAAAAATCTTAGCTTTCAAAGCAATTAAAAATGTAGTATATTATCCTGCTTCACTGGTTTTGGTCTTGTATGGATCACAGTAGAACACTGATTTCCTCCATAAATAACTTGGGCATTTTATTAAAGAGGAATTGACTAAGAAAATGATGGTAATAAGGAAGCTTGGTGGCACTGCGCACGAGATGCTTCAACATAGCAAAGACAAAGTTCTTGGATTTGAACATCATATGGAATGGGTACATGGAACACAGTCGTACAAGGGGTTTAGATTCCAAAAAAGCAAAGTGTGAGATATTAAGAAAATTACTGAGCTTGATGCAGTGGGAGGAAGTATCTATGTGGAACAATTCTGGAACATTGTGTGCCATCATAAACCGCAACAAATGACACTTCCTCTGAAAGAGAATAAAAGAAAGAATAATAGGTGGCCAGTGTTACTGTAGAAGGGACTGCTTAGTGATATTAGGGTTAACAGAAGAAGCAGTATTTGTGTGTACAGAGAATTAGCTTGCAAAAAAGCAGAATCAACTAGTATGATACAAAGGGGATAAGTAGAGTAATAAAGGCCTATAGGTGAGCTTGTGAAGTCTTACTTTAACAACAAAATGTTCTGGCCATTGGGGCCTAATCCCACTCTCACTGAAGTCTAAGAATATTTTTCCATTGGAAGGATCAGTCCCAGTTAGAAGCACTGAAGACCTTGTAAGTACTGCATGCAAAGGTATCAGTAAGAAGCATGTGTGGATGACACTCGTTTCAGGTTTGAAGGCAGTGAACTCATGAGTTTACTTGAATCATTCCAATTATTTTTCAAGCATGGAGAACAAGGAAGGTACCCCAGGACTGGAAAAAATAATGGTGATTATTTAAATAACACTCAAAAACAGAATGGGAGGGAAATGATCTTCCAGATATCTTCCTTACTTTTCAGTTGTAATTGAGGTAAAAAATGCTTGTACTGTAGATTTGCATTTATATATTTTGACTTTTTAGGTGATTTGACAATTCAGACTTTGAATTGTCTACTCACATTAATAAACTAGTACTATAATAGGCCTAAAACAGTACTCTTTATCCAAGCAAAGCTCCCATTATTTGTAATGAGAATTTTGCTTGAGACAGAAGTACAGGATCTAGGTGTCTTGTCTTTCATTGACTTCAACAAACTTTGTATCATGCCCATAGTCTTAAGATACTTTGGTGCTTCTGGCGGGGGTCAGAAAGGGATTAGAAGCAGCCAAGGGAGGTTGCTTGGGTAATCAGCCACAGGTGTGGTTGCACCCAATTACGGAACAGCTGGCCCTGATAAAAGGGCAGACTGAGAGAGTGGGAGAGACTCTTGCTCCAGCTGAGAAGTAGAGAGGACGTGGCTGCCTGGGAGAGCAAGCAGGGTACTTGAGGCAGAGCAGGGCTGGGGAAGGGCAGGCAGAGCTGAGGAGATCTGGCCTGTTGAGTCCCCAGGTTGAGGCTTTGCTAAAGGCCAGCGGAAGTATTAGGGCTGCAAGGAGGCAGCTGCGGCTAGAAAGGCAGCAGGTCCAACTCCCTTGCCAGTGATGAGTGGCCATTACGGACTGCAGTTTGCCCCTGAGAGCAGGGGCTAGAGGATGAATGGCAGTAGCCACTGAGGCAAGATGGGTAGAGGGGGTTGGGGTTCCCCTGGGAGGGGAGACCCAGAGTGTGGGGGCACTGCTGTGGGGCAGTACTCCAAGATAAGAGGTACCGGGGTCCGGGAGGGATGCGGGGCCTGAAGTGCTACAAATGGTTGAGATTTACAGAAAGCAGGTACCGGTAGGAAGACACCAGCCAGCAGGAGGTGCTCCGAAGCTGGAATCGAGCTAATTCCTGGATAACCAGCAGGAGACGCTACACTGGTGAGTCGGAGCTTTGCTACAGTGCTGCTATAACTATAGTAGATAAATTGAGCTCTTTTCTTTTTTGAAACTGTTAAAATTGACTACCTCCTGTCTCAAAAATGCAAACTCACTTGTAAGAAATATAGGAAGGTGCATTTTATTGAAAAAAAAAAATGGCTTTAAAATTAAAAAAAGTGAGAATCCCAAATAGAAATGTGTGGCTTTTATATTTCCCTCATTTTCTTATTCAAGGGCTGACCACGAACAGCAGAATTACTTTGACTATTGTTTCAGTGTGTCTTTAGAAGATTCTGCTTTATAGAGAATGAAGATGCTTTTGATAATGCATTATTTTTCTTTTCTTCAGTATATACCAAACTTGGAAAGTGAGGAAATATACAACAGGCCACCGTAACGTTAACATGATCTCCAAGTTGGGAAGCCCGGAGGTGTGTACTGCAGGTGACTTACAGGTACTATAAAGGAAATGATACTCTGCAGACTCCTTCCAGAAGAAAGCAAAATCTGGAATTTGGCATCAGTTCTTGCTTTTAAACTGGGGCCTGGTCTATGTTACAAACTTAGGCCAACATAAGCCGCATTAAATCAATCTAATAATGTATGTGTCTACACTACCAAGTCCCTTCCGCTGACCTAAGTAAAGTCAACTTCTGTACTCCACCTCCATTAGAGGCTTAGTGCTTGATTCGACATCCATGGGTCGACATGGGGATAGTGTAGACACTGCATTGTGTAATTCGAATGAATTGGCCTCAGAAGGTGTCTCTCAGTGCTCCGCTGTGGAGAATACTTTCAATTTGATGGCACATCAGCCAGGTACACAGGAAACAGACTCTCCCCTGTTAAAGCCCCGGGAACTTTTGAATTTTCATTGATCAGCATGGAGAGCTTACCAGCACAGCTGATCATGGAGACTCAAGGCCGCAAACATGCTCCAGCAATAAGATCCACAGCAGGTGGTGGATCTTACTGCCGTGCGGGAAGGAGTCTGTGCAAGCAGTGCTCCAATCCAGGAGAAGAAACGCTAACATCTATGCCAAGATTGCGCAGGGCATGGGGACGCACAGCAGTGCAATGTGCAAATAAAGGAGTTTTGGCAAGCATACCGGAAGACAAGAGGGGCAAACAGTCGTTCTGGTTCTGTCCCACAGACATGCTGCTTTTATGAGGAGCTGCATGCGGTTTTCGGCAGTGACCCCACCACTATCCCAAAACATCCCGGGTGAACTTGAGCAGCAATGAGGAGGACGTTGTGGAGGAGGAGGAGACTGTGAGGCAGGCAAGCAGAGGATCCATTCTCCCTGACAGCCAAGAACTGTTTTTAACCGTGGAGCCCATCCCTTCACAGGACCAGTTGGCAGCGGAGCATGATGTCAGGAAAGGCACCTCTGGTGAGTACATATTTCCAATCAAACTGTAGGGGTTACATGCTATGGTTTTTTTTATGTTTAATCTGAACAAAAAAGAAGGTGTAGGGGGTATTGATAGCCACTCCAGCTACGCAGAGAGTGCTGTCTGAAAAAAGACTGTTTATGTGCCTGGGATGGCCCAGGAATCCTCCATGGAGATTTCTAGGAAGCTTTCATGAAGGTTTCCGGGAATGGCTGCCTTATTTCGTCCACCATGGTAGGACACTTTCCCGTGCCACTCCAGTATTAACCCTACTGGCATCATTTCAGCACACAGCATTGCAGCATAAGTACCCAGACACTTACAGCATCTGCTCCCTTTCCGCCTCTGTTACCCTCAGGAGAGTGATATTCCATAGGGTCACCTAGGGAAAACGGGGGAAGTTTTGAATGCTAGCCCTTAAACTGCAAACGAGTAATCCGTCCCCTTTTTGGTGAAATCTGGGTTGTGTATGTAATCTGTTTCCTGAGCATGCCATGGTTGTGGTTGGAAGGCATCACTGTGTATTGCAAGCAGTATTGGGGCAGAGGGGGACAGTGGCTGCTTCCTGTTTGTCTCCATCCCCCCAAACCATTGCTGCTTTTGTAAAAAACAAACTATTTGGGGGGCTTTACATTGGTGCCTGCCCTCAAGCACCATCCAGCCTGCTGCTTTTCTCAAGTACCAACCTGTGATCCCAAGGATGTCTTCACAAAAGCAGCAGCACAAGACCTCTCACGGATGCCTTGTGGCGTTACTCACCATGGCTGGAGCAGCAAATCGGTTCTTGCAATAGCCAGTGGTTGTGATTACACTGGGGCTTGCAGTGAAGTGTATTGAGGGCTGTATTTTTAATCAAAAATTTATCCTTGCACCAGAAACAATGTATACACTGGTTTCAGAGTAGCAGCCGTGTTAGTCTGTATTCACAAAAAGAACAGGAGTGCTTGTGGCACCTTAGAGACTAACCAATTTATTTGAGCATAAGCTTTCGTGAGCTACAGCTCACTTCATCGGATACACTGTCAATGCTACCCTTGAGCTCTGCATTCCTTGGAGCTGAGACCTTGTCCGTCGGCACATCCTCCACACCAGGACAGAGAATTTCCCAGATTAGAAAGCGGAAAAAGAAGACTTGGGAGGACCTGTTCAATGAGTAATGCGTGCCTCCGAGAGTGACAAGACGGAGCGCAGATCATGGAGGATTACCTTGTCCGAGAACCAGGTCATGGACAGAGAGGACAGGAGATCATGCAAGGAATAAGAGGGTGCACACAGGCAGAGATGCTGCAGATTATGAGGGAGCAAACAGACATGTTGAGGCATCTGGCTGAGGTTCAGGAAAGGCAGCTGGATGTTAGAGTTCTGCTGCAGCCTACGCTGAACCTGCTACCATCATCGCCCAGTTCTACATCCTCCTCCCCAAAACGTCCTGTGAGGCGAGGCGGGAAAGTCCGGCATCCCTTGCACTCAACACAGGGGGAGAGTACAAGGACCAGAAGGCGCCCATTCTCAGACCTTTGATTGTTCTTGCAGTGCATCTGTAAGCAAGCTGTCCTTCTTTCTCCCCTCACCGTATAACAGATAACCTGGGGCAAAAGGTTCTTACTTTTCTTTGCTGTCTCTGTGTCTTTGTGTGCATAATAAAACTTAACAGATTGAGGAGAAAAGGCTCCTTATTCATTCAACACACAGTGGCTGGTGGGGGTGGAGTTTACAAGGGAGAAAGTGCAATGGAGGGGACAGTTTGGTAAGGAACAAAACAGATAAGTGTCACATTACTGTGGCTCATTGCTGAAACTGGTTTTCAAAGCCTCATGGAGACACAGATGCTGACCCTCATTGTGCTCTTCTTATTGCCCTGGTGTCTGGCTGCTCAAAATTGGCTGCCAGACGATCTGCCTCAACCCCCCACCCCACCAGAAACTTTTCTCCCTTTGTTTCACAGACATTATGGAGCACACAGCAGGCAGCAATAACAATGGGGTATTGCTTTCACTGAGGTCTAACCCAGTAAGCAAACAAACCAGCGCCCTTTTAAACATCCAAAGGCACATTCCACCACCACTCTACACTGGCTCAGCCTATGGTTGAACCGCTCCTTACTGCTGTCTAGCCTGCCTGTGTACAGCTTCATGAGCCATGGGAGCAAGGGGTAGGCTGGGTCTTCCAGAATCAGAATTGGCATTTCAACATCATCAGTGGTTATTTTGCAGTCTGAAAAGAAAGTCCCTGTGTGCAGCTTTCTGAACAGATCTGTGTTCCTAAAAATGCACGCGTCATGCACCTTTCCCGACCATCCCATGCTGATGTCAGTGAAATGGCCCCTGTGATCCACCAGCACTTGCCACACCATTGAGAAGTACCCCTTGTGGTTTATGTACTCTTTGGCCAGGTGGTCTGGTGCCAAGATAGGGATGTGTGTTCCGTGTATCACTCCACCGCAGTTAGGGAACTCCATTGCGGCAAAACCATCCCCTAGGTCCTGCACTTTGCCCAGAGTCACTACCCTTCTTAGAAGTCCATTGATGTCCCTGCACACCTGGATCACAACAGATCCCACAATAGATTTACCCACTCCAAATTCATGCCCTACTGACCAGTAGCAGTCTGGCATTGCAAGCTTCCACAGAGCTATTGCCACTCGCGTCTCCACTGTCAGAGAAGCTCTCATTTTAGGATTGCTGCACGTCAAGGCTGAGGAAAGCGCTTCACACAGTTCCTGGAAAGTGCCATTCAAAAGTTCTGCAGCCACTGCTCATCATCCCATAGCTGGATAACGATGCGCACCCCCCCCCAAGTCAGTGCTTGTTTACTGGGCCCAGAAACGGCACTCAGGCGTGTCAAGGTGACGCGTGACTGTCGACAGCAACTGCCAATGGCTCCATTTTATGGCTGTGAGCAGGGCTGCTTGCGTGCCGTCGCCTTGTTCTGTGCTGCGGCTCCTGTAGCAGCGGTGTAAATACTGCATGATAAGGTGCAAGGTGTTTGTAATGCTCACAACAACAGTGTACAGCTGAGTGGGGGCCATGCTTATCATGCTATGGCGTCTGCATGGGTAACCCAGGTTTATGAAAAAAGCCGTGCAAAGGCTTGGTTTGTTGGCTGTTGATTTCAGGGCGGGAGGGAGGAAAGTGCATCATGGGAGGCTAATGCCATGTTCCCATAACCACCTGTGCCAATGTTTTGTCCCATAAGGCATTGCAAGCCCAGCCCAACATTCTACTCAGCTACGTGCACTGTGAGCTAGCTACTGTCGATGCAAGCCCTGCTAGTGAGAATGCACACGGCCGACATAATGAGCGTAGTGTGGACACGCAGGATCGACTTGAAAAATCGCTGAAAAATACCACCCACATTCATACTATCCTTGCTGTTAGGTGTTTTCTACTGAAAGCCTGCCCACAAAAGATGCTAAATAAAAGAAAGGGCAGCTGTTTTGTGCTCTGCAGCTTTAGTTACGGACAATTTGTCATGTTTTAACCCCTGAGATTTGAGAGGCTGGCACTCCTTGTTAGGTTGATTTCCTGCAAGCCTTGAGCTTGGCACTTACTGACACGTGAATTACTCTTCAGGCCCTGCTAAAAATAATAGAATTTTTTAAGAGAAAAGCATCCCTAAGCATCTTTGGCTCTGGCGCTGTCTGTACAGAATATCATTTGGGGCCCTTCATAGATTCAAGCATCCAACCATGGAGCTCAGCAGTAGGATGAGGGCCGTAATGGGATGTGCCCTGGCCTTTTAAGGGAAATTATAAGCAAGCATGTGCCAGTCCTGGTTCAGTGCCAACAATGGCATTCTGGGAGATCTGGCCCTAAAATGGACTGAGGGGGTTGCAGGATCATGTGTCTGAAGGAACATGTGACCGAGCTAAGATGACTGCAGGACTATACATATATGGCATGGGTTGCTTTATAAGGCATGGGGAAAAAGCAGACCTGGCATTCAGACCTGTGACTAAAGCTGGGGAAGCAGCCCAGAAAGGCGCTGTAGTGAGAGCCTGTGATGGGGCAGAAACCCCAAAGGGAAGTAATCTGTTCACCACCCGAAACAGCTAGATGTGAAAGGACTCCAGGGAGGAGAGACACACACCAAAGCAACAATTTACCAGGCAACCCTGCAGTCCTCCAGCCAAAGATGGGGCAACTGATGTGACCTGACATCAGAGAGGTAAGGGAACCTGTTCCATGAGTTCACTGCTTATTTTGTAATGAAAGCGGTGCTGGGGCTCAAGAAATTTTTTTTACATTCATAACTGATGTGGCAAGCCCTGTGGTGCCAGGGCTATGAACTGCCAAGCCTAGAGGTGCTGGGGCTCAGCCCTGGCAAAAATTAAGCACTGCATGAGTCTACATCGGGGCGGGCAAACTTTTTGGCCTGAGGGCCACATCAGGTTTCCAAAATTGTATGGAGGGCCGGTTAGGGGAGGCTGTGTCTCCCCAAACAGCCAGGTGTGGCCCAGTCCCTGCCTCCTATCCGACCCTCCCCCCGCTTCTTGCCCCCTGACAGCTCCCCTGGGCCACCTGCCCCATCCACCCCCTCCCGTTCTCTGTCCCCTGATGGCCCCCCCCCCCCGGGACTCCTTCCCCATCCACTACCCCCTGCTCCTTTTCCCCTGACCACCCTCAGATCCCCCCACCCCTGACTGCCCCATCCAACCCCCCCACCATTCCTGACTGCCCCTCCAGGACCCCTGCCCCATCCAACCCCCTGTTCCTCGCCCTATGATTCCCCCTAACCCCTATCCACATCCCCAAACTCCCCTGCCCTCTATCCAACTCCCCCACTCCCTTACCGTGCTGCCTGGAGCACCAGTGGCTGGCAGTGCTGCCCAGAGCACTGGGTCGGGCCGTGGCTCTGCAACTGTGCTGCCCGGCCATCCAGAGCGTGGCTCAGGACACTGAGGGGGACAGGGAACAGCAGGGGAGGGGCCGGGGGCTAGCCTCCCGGGCTGGGAGCTCAGGGACCGGGTAGGAGGGTCCTGCGGGCTGTACTTTGCCCATCTCTGGTCTATATGGTAACCATGGGCAACAGGTAGCTAAAGAACAAATGCTAGCAGCTTAACTTGGGGGGCGGGGGGAAGGATAGAGGAATTAAAATTAGTGGCTGAAGGGAATGCAGTAGGTATAATATATAGGGGTGTATGTAAAATAGTACAGTGTATGGGCTTGCTTGACTTCCATGGGCTTTGGCTCAAGCCCTACGTGAGCAGACAAGGGAGGAGAACTACACCCATGAGCTCTCGTAACATACTGCATACCTCCAATTGACGTTACCATTATTTTCTTAGGATACTGTTGTGCCTTATGGCATTTCAGGATTTAGGGAAGCTTATTTAGAAAATGTTCATTTAAATCACATATATTAAAAGTTCTATGCAAATTTGCCTTGGTAATAACTAAAAGAATACTCACACTTCTAGAAACGTGCATACCTCCTCATTAGGACCAAGCCTCCAAGAATTTGGAAATAAATTTCTTGTCTAAGCTTGACAAGAATTTGGAAATAAACTCAAAGCACCTAGTATGCTCTGGTGACAGTCTATTCCTTGGCCCGTTCGGCTGCATTATTTTTAAGAGCAAATATCATGAATCTCAATCGTGGGAGCTGAGTTTTCTGTTCCATATGATCGATCATTTCCTTTGGGTGCAGAAATACAGTACCTAACTACAAGGAACGCTTTGTTATATGACAACTCATGAAATTCAGTCAGATTTCTAAATAATCCCAACTGTGTAGGGTGCTGCATTATGTGCAGCTGTCAATGACTTTGAATTCTATGTTCCTTGGGTTCTATATTGCATGCAAAAGGTTTTTAAGACCGTGGAATAGGTCTATGAAGCTGTACATGCTTCTTCTGTATATGTGGGTTTAGATCTAGAATCCCAGCTCTGTGGTATCGAACTGTAACACTATAATTAATAGGAATTTGTCCAAAAGGTTACAGTCCACTCATAAATGACCCTGCCTATGGAAAAAAATGGGCTCAGTCAGGAATCACAACAGGCTTTCATTTAAAATAACCAAACTGCAGGTATGTAGCACACAGAAATGTAAACAAGTTTCACCAATACTCATGCTTGACAATAGGTTCCCTGAAGTGACTGGATGTTTTGCATCAAAGGGATCAGAATTCCCACTTCACTCATAGCATTTGGGATGTCAGTCTGTTGTTATGCTGCGCCCCTCACTGGAATATAAGGGTTCGAAGGCAGCTAAAGAATAAAGGGGGAGCAGGGGGGAAATGTTCTGTACATTTCAGACTCTCAACCTGGGTTAGTTTGATGCCAGATACGGATAAAAGTGTCAAGTTGAGGGCAGGGGAAGTTCTTACACATGCCCATCCCCCCAATAGGCCCAGGAGACAGCTAGGTAAAGGCAATGCCATTTCCTGAAGGATTTTGAAATTTGTCTTCATTTCACCTTGGAACAAAACCTGAAAACTTCAGAATTTCTGAACATTGCTTTTTTATTTCAATGTTGACTTTGGACAATTTGTACTATATGGGTTTTTTTTGCTTTGAAATTACTTTTTCATTCTCAAAACGTTTTATCATTGTTGGATCTTTTTTGTATTTTCTCCTAAATGCCATGTTGGTGGAATTGCACAATTTCACAAAGCTTTTCAAAAGAACTGCATTTTCTGAGGGGGATCAAGGTTTTCCTGGTC